GCAGGGAAGGAAAGCTTCCAAATTCATTTTGGAAAAAGAGGTGAGTAAGTAATGTCGTGTCTTTATATAGCCATAATCAACCATTCGAAAGGCATCACCTGGAAATCTCCAAGCTGTTGAAGACCTTCTCTTTGTCAGCTCCGATGTTACATCGGCACCTATCGTTTTAGCTGTCAAAGTATCATCATCGTCAGTCATGAACAAAGCCAAGACCAAGTCAATCGGCATTGCCTTCGCGGATACCAGTGTGAGGGAGTTCGGGGTTGCTGACTTCATCGACAATGATCTTTTCTCGAATCTTGAGGTGGGTTTATTTAGTTGCAGACCGTCATCGCCATCTCCTCACACTGGAGTAGTCTCTTGTCATACAGCTTTCGGTCAAAGAAGCCATTATTCCCACCGGAACAGTATCTGGGACAACAGACCGCGACCTCGACTTGAGCAAGCTAAAAGCCGTGTTCGAGAGGTGCGCCGTGGTTGTGACCGAACGCAAACCAAGTAAGTCAACATTTATGCGATTTCTTAAGTCCATCTAATTCTAGGTCCTAGGCGAGTTTACTCCAAAACATGTGCAAGACGACGTTAAAAAATTAACGATCGACTCAGAAATGGATCCAGACTCTGCTGCTTCGATTCGTGGGTTTTGATATCTAAACTGCATAAACAACACTCACAATATTATCTAGCTGAGCTCTCCCTTCCTTCAGCCCCGTCTGCACTTTCTGCCTTGATCAGCTATCTTTCGCTCCTTTCTGATCCCTCCAATCACGGGGCATACAAGTTACGGACACACGATCTAGCACAATATATGCGCTTGGATGCTAGTGCATTGCGTGCACTGAATCTGATTGACGCCCCTGGGAGTGCTGTAAGTCATTCAAGATGCAGTTCACACTGATATCTTCCCTGCTAACAGTCTCCCTGTAGGGAAGTATCAATAAACACTCAACCCTCCTTGGTCTGCTAAATAAATGCAAGACTGCTCAAGGAACTAGGCTTCTTGGGACATGGCTTAAGCAACCCTTGGTAAATCTGCACGAAATACGTACGCCCGTTTTCTTACTTCACTTGACGTAACAAAACTTTAGCCTTGCAGGTAAACGACAAGACCTTGTGGAGACATTTGTAGATGATGGATCTTCTCGGAGAACACTGCAGGTTAGTACCATACCCTTTGTCAAGGGGCGTCACTTATTTCCATTCCACAGGATGACTACTTGAAGCTAATGCCTGACCTCCACCGACTAAGCAAACGATTCAAGAAATCTATCGCATCTCTTGAGGATGTTGTACGCGTATATCAAGTGGTCCTCAAGGTACTTTGCTTCGATTCCTGGCCCTCAGTGTTACTTACTTTACCCAACTAGTTGCCCGGTTTGCTTGAGACCCTCGAAGGTGTCCAATACGAACACGAGGAGCACAAGGAACTAATCGATGAAGTTTATATCAAGCCTTTCCAGGTGCGCATGTCATAGATTCATCGAATTACATTATCACTGCTCCCTCTAACACTTGCTATTACCAGACTGTCAACGAGAATCTCGTTAAATATAGTGAAATGGTGGAGTCAACGCTAGATCTCGAAGAACTCGAACATCATAATTACGCGATCAAGCCTGACTATGATGAGCGTCTGCAGGTTCTGGCAGGTAAACTTGTGGAGGTTCGTATTATGTCTATCAGAATAATGGCGAACAGGGCTGACGTTTTCTCAGATCCGGGACGGTCTTGATGCTGAACATCGTGCGACCGGCAAGGATCTCGATCTCGATCTTGACAAGAAGTTGCACCTCGAGAACTCCCAGAATTATGGATACTGCTTCAGGTTGACGAAGAACGTACGCTTCCCGTACTGGGAGATGCCATGAGCTCACATACTCATCAGGATGCGAAAGCCATCATGCGGAACAACAAATACATTGAACTCGGAACTGTCAAGAGCGGAGTCTACTTCACGACCAAGAAGCTGAAAGCACTTTCCACGGACCATCAAGAGGCTACGCATGAATATCAGCGAACGCAGAGCGGGTTGGTGAAGGAAGTTGTCAGCATTGCATGTAAGCTACTCCTTTCACCACGACTTTCGCATTCACAGATGCCTTTTCCTTCGTACAGCAACATATACGTCCGTACTCGAGAATCTCGACCACATCATTGCACACCTAGACGTTATTATCAGGTGAGCCCCGCGACTGGAGCTTGCACATGTGGTAACGATCATCCAGTTTCGCTCATGTTTCTGTAAATGCTCCTGAGCCATACGTGAAACCAAAAGTCTCGGAGAAAGGCAAGTTTTGGAGATGATGTTCGACGCAGGAATTGATCAACGCACATCAGGTTCTAGCGGCTTAATATTACGCGACGCGCGACATCCTTGCCTCGAAGTTCAGGACGATATAAGCTTCATTCCAAATGATGTGGAAATGGTGAAGGGTAAGGTTTATGGCACTGTCACCGTTACATGTCTCACGTGCCGCCTTGTAGGCGAGGGTGAATTTCAGATAATCAGTGGGTGCTGCCCCTGTACCGTTTTAACGGAGCTAACGTACCGAAAGCTGGTCCAAACATGGGCGGAAAGAGCACGTATATTCGTCAGGTGCATCAGCTATGTCATCGTTCGCGAACGTCATTCTCAACCTGCCTCATAGGTTGGAGTCATTGCTCTCATGGCACAGACCGGATGTTTTGTTCCTTGCTCGGAGGCAACATTACCGATTTTCGATTCGGTGCTTTGCCGTGTGGGTGCAGGTGACAGTCAGTTGAAGGGTGTTTCGACTTTCATGGCCGAGATGCTTGAGACTGCTTCAATCCTCCGAGTGGGTGGCATCTACACAAATTCTTCCTCAGTCTGACTGTCGTGCACTGTTCAGTCTGCTACTCAGGATTCTCTCATTATTATTGATGAGCTCGGCCGCGGTATGTCTTCTGTTGTACGATGGAGCACATTTTGTCAATATTTGCCTTATCTTCAGGAACTTCAACGTATGACGGATTCGGCCTGGCATGGTCTATATCTGAGTATGAGAACAAGATTTATTTCCTGAAGTCGTATCTGACGGCACCCAAAGGCATATTGCATCTCACATCCGCGCTTTCTGCTTGTTTGCTACTCACTTTCATGAGTTGACTGCCCTCGACCAGGAGCTTCCTCACGTCAAAAACCTTCACGTCGTGGCTCATGTGAACCAAGAAGATGCATCTGCGCCGCGTGAGAAGGATATCACGCTCTTGTACAAGGTCGAACCAGGTGTGTTTCGATGTTCCAACCAAACCTTTTTCTCTGAAACTTTTGGATGAAGGCGTTTCGGACCAAAGCTTCGGTATCCACGTTGCGCAACTGGCCAACTTCCCTGAAAATGTGGTCAAAGTTAGTTCTGGATAGAACTGTTCTTATAATGTCTGCTGACCGTGTTTTAGCTCGCAAAACGGAAAGCTGATGAACTAGAAGATTTCGCAACTGGTAATTGTTACAAAAAAAATGTCAGGAATCTGTCGCGCTGATGTTTGCTGAGCAGGACAACAATCAGAACCCGAGCATTCGGACGAAATCACCGAGGAGGGCATCCAAATCATCGAGCAGTTACTGAAAAAGTGGGCCTCCGAGTCTTCAGCTGATGATGAGGACGTCATGATGGACGATGTGTCACACGAGGCTCAGCTAGCTGAACTGCGGCGATGTGTCGAAGAGTTCAGACCACGCATAGAACAAAATGCGTGGGTACAGTCTTTGCTCACGTCTTTCTGATCTCTTGCTATTTTATTTCCTTGCTATCATTGCTCTGTATACCATTCATAATCAAACTGCACTGGATCATTTATTACTACTGTCGCATCTTCCGCATTTGCGTCCTCGCCTTCAACATGATTGGGGGAACTTTGGAGTCTAAACCTGCGTGGTGCAAATTTTCATCCCTGTGGGTTCTACTTTGCTATTGCTAGACCCTGGACTAGACGCCTTTGCCACCGGCTGTAGCGATAGGCCTACAGCCGTACACGATCAAAAGGCATGGTTTGCTCATTATTGGTGCACGATATTGGTACAGTTCGTATGAGCGGGCGGAGATTGAGTCTTGCAGGGGCTAGCCGCAAGATTTTAATTTCCAGCTTTGACCTCATTACAATACGTATGTGATCTGGACTCCTCCAAGACTACTGAAGCTCCACCTAGCATGTGTGCAACCTGACGATGACGAGTGTGACAGATGAAGGGGCTAGGATTAAGGACGAGTAATACTGTCCGGGACCGTAAAGAAAGATTAAGCGTGAGGCAGATAATCACGCGGTCCACAGCAGTGGGGGATACGAACATGTTGATCACTGCAGTAGAGCTGAGCGCGCGGCTCACAACGGTGAAAGATAAGCTTGCAGTTCGCGATGGCATAACTGGGCATGTCACTCGTCATAAAATGTGGGACACACGATTCATGATAACGGGAAAAGAGAGGAAGTGGCGCAAGGCGGCGTGTGTTGAGTGCGCATAATAGCGAAAACGAACGGAAGGGCTGTGACAGAGCAAACCAATGCCAATGAAAGTTGCTACTGATCGCAGAGTTATTATGGTGGTGTGGAAGGCCAAGTAGCAGTATCGCAGCGATGTGCACTGGAATTTGGAAAGCGCGTAGTGAAAATGGAGTATGAAGGGGCGGAAGATTAATCCTAGCGCCAGACATAGTAAACGGTGCACTCGAGTAGGCGTCGGAAACGATTAAGCGAGAATGAGAAACATACCACGACCGAGCCTGAGTTGCATGAGGATTGCGCATGCGACTAAAAGGCGCACATAGTGGGTTTCGGGATATGCTATCAGACGCCGTGTGCTAAGTGCATTGGAACATAGCTCTTGAGACACTGTGTTCACCGTAAATGTGTACGATCGGAAGAGAACTTGAATATAAGCTCATTTTGAATGAACCAGTGCGAAATTTGGTGGTTAGAAACAACCTGCCGGCATTTGCCATTCAATAATAGGCGATCCAGATCGATCACCCTGGCAGTGCCAAGTAATAACACGAACATGCTGATGACACGATGCTTGTTAATAACACTGGCCACTAACACTCGATTTTCACTAGTATTAGGTTAAAAACAATGCGATGGTTCGAGCGCTCATCGATGTCCGTACCCTGAAGTGCACAGCCGAATCCTCACCGCTGCAGCTAGACCAGCAGCTTGGCATCATAATATGCCATGTGCGAAACCCAATGTATTTAGGCAGCATGATGGTTTTGATATCTATGAGCTCACGCAGCTACGCCTCCTCCCCAATGCCCAACGCCCTTCTCAGATCTCACTGGCACGTGTATGGAACATGCTGAATACAAGCGTACTGACTCCTGTGCTAATGAGAAGGTAGCTGACACTGCTCAAAAACAGCGAAGGCGCAAGTCAAGACGTACCTTTCTGTTTTTTCTTGAGTCATTATTGCAATGTCAAGTCCTGCTCACGCACAACCATCTATTGTAAGTATTTTTTTGACTCTTCCTAAGCTAAGCTAAGCTAAGGTTAACTTGAAACCAGTCCTCCATCCCATCTCAATGTGTTGTCATTTGCGGAGAAGCAGGATCTGGTAAAAGTTCTTTGATCAATTTAATCGCTGGGACGAACATTGCAGTGACATCCTGCGATGCTGGGGGATGTACAGCTGAAACTAATATGTACGAGAATTTGATGATTCAGAACGAGACGTTGAAGGTAAAACTTGTCGATACAGCTGGTTGGTCCAGTTCACTGCTCTTCGTGACTATTACTGAGTTAGATTTAGGTTTGGACGAGGGCCCCCGAGGCACAGTCCCAGATACAGAGGCTCGACGAATATTAAAGAAGCTCCTTCGAACTTTGACGGAGCAAGGCGATATTCATCTCATCATGTACTGTGTGCGGGGTGAGAGAGAGATTCGGACACTCCGCCGGAATTACGAGTTAATCCGCTCCCAAGTAAAGAGAAAGGTTCCAATTGTCCTTGTCGTCACATGTTTGGAATCCTATCAACCAGACATGGAAGACTGGTGGAGGGTTAATGAGCGAACCATCTCAAACCTCGGGATGACATTCGCTGGCCACGCGTGTATCACCACGGCGACAATGACAGGACCTGTGTTTGCGGAGCGTCGCGCCCAGTCATACGACGCTGTCTGCAAACTCATCGAGCAGTGTCGCCCATCAAATAACACACGGGTTGATACTGGATCGTCACTAGGCACTGTTCACCACGTCCCTTCCAGAGAGACTGCTAGGTATGTATCCCCTATACTCTTTGTATCGCACTTCCCTAACATTGATCAGTAGTGACAAGCACCCGAATGTTGTCATCTTCGGGCAGGCAGGGGCAGGCAAAAGCTCACTTGTCAATCTCCTGGCGGGAAAGAACGTAGCTGAGACATCCGGTGACCTGACCTGCTGCACGCTAAAGTGGAAAGAATATTTCGTCGAACTCAATGACGGCTCCTATAATATATTCGATACTGGTGGACTCCAGGAACCACAGCCGCCAACTTCCTCACAGTACATCTGTGCTGTCGAGAATGCCCGTAGCCTCATCCAGAAATTGGAGAGACAAGGCGGCATTGATCTCCTCATCTTCTGCATGCGCGCAGGCCGATTCGCTGCTGCGCTTCGAAGCAATTACCGGCTCTTTAACGAATTCCTTTGTGAAAAGAAGGTCCCCGTCGTTATGGTGATCACACGCCTCGAAAACGAAGTCGGGGAAATGGATAACTGGTGGAAGAGAAACCAAGATACTTTCCGTCACCAGCGATTCGATGTCGATGGTCATGCGTGCATCACTGCCATTCCAGGCAATTGTCCAGAACGTTATGAACAATCGCGCACCACGATCCGCAAACTTGTCAAGGAGTTCACTGCTGGCGAGCAGAAGCAAGTACGGAGAGGAGACGACGTGTTCGTGTCGTTGATGCAAAAGCTGAAGCTACTTTTAGAGAATTCGCGTTCGAAAGATATTGTCCATCACCTCACCGAGAGGTGCGGTTTGCCTCCGGACGTCGCAAAGCAGTTGGCTGATATGATTAAGAAAGACGTAGTAGAAGGAGCTACTTGACTTCCCGTGTTCGATGGCTCAGTGTGCCCATGCCGGCTGTATCCTTTTAAATTTATATTGGAACTTCAACGCGTTGACAAGGGATTGCCGTGACTAGTGTCTGCAGTAATAGAGAATGAGGTCATGGTCACAGATCATAATGCAAACGAAGATGGGACTTGGAATATTGATTTCATGTTGCTGTCAAGTGAGTGTCAATATTTTCTTACATCCGATCCATGTAGTCAGTAGTAGTTCCTACAGTACCATGAAAACATACGTGTACAGTCGAATTCTGCCGGCAGGACTTACTAGGCTCGGGGTCAACCGGGTCCAGCTCATGTTATGTATGTAAGTTATAACGTATTGGGGTAAGTCTACAACCGGAATGAGCACAAGCTATCGAACACGGGGAGTCAAGTCAAGTAGCTCCATCTACCACGTCTTTCTTAATCCTCTCGGCCAACTGCTTTGCGACATCCAGAGACAAACCGCACCTCTTGGTGAGGCGAGGGACAATATTATCTTTCTTTGAACGCGATTTCCCTAAAACTAGCACCCTCAGCTTTTGCATCAATGACACGAACAGGTTGTCTCCTCCTCCTCTCCATGCTCGCCTCTGCCCGTCAGCAGTGAACTCCTTGACAGCGTTGCGGATTGTGGTGCGCGATTCCTCATACCGTTCCGGACAATTGCCTCGAATGGCGGTGATGCACGCATGACCATCAACACGGAAATCTTGGTGACGGAAAGTATCTTGGTTTCTCTTCCACCAGTCATCCATTTCCCCGTCTTCGTTTTCGAGGTATGTGATCACCATAACGATGGGGACCTTCTTTTCACAGAGGAATTCGTTAAAGAGTCGGTAATTGTTTTGAAGCGTAGCAGTGAGTCGGCCTGCGCGCATGCAGAACATGAGTAGATTGATTCCGCCTTGTCTCTCCAATTTCTGGATGAGACTATAGGCATTCTCGACAGCATCGAGGTACTGTGGGATTCCCAGCTGTGGTTCCTCGAGTCCAACAGTATCGAATATATTGTAAGAGCCGCCACCGAATTTGACGGAATATTCTTCCCACTTCAGCGTGCAGCGGTTTAGGTCGATGGATGTCTTTGCTACCTTCTCTCCCGCAATGAGATTGACGAGTGAGCTTTTGCCTGCTCCTCCCTGCCCAAAGAGAACGATGTTTATATGCTTGTTTCTACTTATTATTGTTAGAAAAATATGGCACAAGGATCTTGTCCAGATTCTACGTACCTTATATCCGAGTTCATCGCGATTCGGAAGGGACGTTCAGGATGTCACTAGGGTACCGTAGTGTTTGACTGCATTTCTTTTAAAACCCTACGAGTGTGGACCACGCTCCTTGCACCCATACTTTAGACGCCTCATCGATCGGACACTGACTCGACGATTGACGTTTGCCTACGGATTGCCGCTAAGCTGCATCTGTCAAATGAACTTGAGGCAAACTCGTGTTGATGACACAATTCAAGAAATTAATTCCTAGTCACCTGTTAGAAGAGCTTGGTGAGCGTCATAACCAAATGCGAATTACATTCAGGGATTACTTCAACGAGTTAGAGAACGAGCGTCAGAGCCCTGCAACTCCATGCAGCTTTGGGGTAAAATAGCAGAGGCGGCGTCTGTGGCGATCGTACGATTCGTGATGATGATATAGTTAGAAGATGGGGAGTCAAGTTGAAGGTCAACTGACATTCCTAGGCCTCGAGATTATGTCGTGGCTAGCTTCTTCAACTTCTCGTTACGGTGAGGCGCATTTCATACTAGTACAACTCCGACACTTGAGTCCCAGTGTGTACAAGAAAATCTAACCATCTACAGACTGAAGCTCCGAGCAGCGGTACTTACATAACAATGACAACATTGTAGAGCACTTTTACCTTGCGCAGTCTGAGTGTTTCTTTGTCTGAGCCCGAGATAAGCGCATCGTACTCTGTCAGGGTATCGTGGTATATAATTAACCGTGTACAAAAGGTCCATTCCCTGGAGTGCTTGAGAACAGTGACCTTGAGTCGAAGTCGAAGTCGAAGTTCATGCATGTCGGTTCGAACGTAAGCTGCAACCTCATCATCACTGAAATTCACTTAGCTCGATATGATAAGGCATAAATTACGATTTTAATCATTTCTGTTTGGTCATGGTAACGCAGTGCAATGGAATATAATAGCATATCAAGCACGTGTAACTTTATTACCCCTTGATGATTTTCACCTTGATGCTATACTTGATTTGCCACTATAAAGGTGTATCGGATGATAAACAGACGCTTATATTTCTATCATTCTTACTCCAAATAATTACACAGTCTCAAATTCCTGCAAAAAAAAACTCATTGGATAGTCTCGTTATAGCCCAATATCAAATTGCCCGAAGTTTATATCTTACTGGCAACAATGATCATGAATCCTGTGACTGCACACAGACTATCGCCGGCTATAGCCGTTATATGATAGGTACAGACGTGTTCTAGGATGCAGCGCCATCTGCCTAAGTCCATCATAGGGGGTAGGAGATATAATGGGATGCAATGATTTAGAGGAGTCTTGCCACTCTAGTAGCTGTTGCAAACACCCGTGAATATTTGAATTACGCCACATACATTCGCTGGAGAGGGTACCATGAACTTGCATGCAAGTGCATTGATATTAGAAATAGACATAGAAAATAAAAACACCTAATGAAACATATCTATGGCAGCGAGGTCCATGATCCATCAGTCAACAAAAATTTAGTATAGGTATGAGAGACAATGACACAAGGCTACATCTATGACAAAATCTGGAGATTGTTTAGTCAAGTCTACCTGCAATAGTGGTTATTTCACTTACAGCCAAAAGCACGACTGCAACGACAATGACCAGAATAATCATGAGACACGCTGCCCATCGTCCGGCTTTGAGTTGGTACTCGGAAGCAGTCGAAAGCTCCTTGGCTGTCCCTTGGGTATCTACAGCGAATCAGCGATGGAATACACGTTTGATTCAATGTTGTCTGCGAAAAAGGGGGAAGAGAACAGTTGAATTTCCGCTTCTCGTTCTTGAATCCAAGACTCTTCACCAACTGTCTTATTCTTGATGAGGGAGCCGGTTTTCACAGGCGTCTCCAGACGCCAGCCTGACAGTGCGTACGTTCCTGGTCGGGTAGCGCACAACTGGGCGAGGACAGATGTTGTCTGCAACGGCGCCAAAAGCCCCCTGAACGCCGTCTGGCCACAATATGGTGCAGGGAAATGATGTCTACAGACGCTGTCAGTTGACAGTATACGGGGCAAAAGATCACTCACGACGATTGTTGACGATGGTCAAGTCTAAGGACAAAGCACGACGGATGGGACAAGGAATGGTCACGAATCGTAAACTCCACGGGAACCATGCAAACACTGATCAACACAGACAAGCCATCGCTTGCCCTCGAGGGTATCACCTAGAAAATCACCAATGGTCAGTGTCGATTCCCATTGCCTAGCTTCGAGGACTTGAGTGACTCAACTGTCAACGGTAACCTGTCAATGATCTTTGTACAGTATTGAGGCGAATTGCAGCCTTGACCAGGCCCGAAAGTAATGATTAGCGGCGTTATCACAGATCTTGGTGAGGATTTCCATTCGCAGGGCAGGTTCGACCTCCTCAGAACCAAAGTCGTCGATGAGATTAACAAGGTTGTTAATAGCACGCGCACCGCCGAATGTGCTGGGCTGCAGAAGTGGTCTGACGTCAGTAATGAAACTATCCTTTCGAGCCTGGATGTTTATCGTCGGTGGTTGTACAGGAGCAGCAGCAGTGGAGGTCGCTGTGGTTGCCGTAGAAGTTGAAGGTGTAGATGGCGATTGTGCGTAGAAAGAAGACAGTTGTCCGATCATTGTAGACGTAGGTGAATGAAGAACGTGGGGCGAAAGAGTGCCTTGAGACTGTGATGTGGGCTGATGCTGAGTTAAATGCGAGGAATAAAAATGTGCGGGAAGAACATAGGCAGGATTAATGGATAAAGTAGGATGCTGATATTGATATGGATGTCGTGGTTGGGATTGGGGATGTATAAGGGTGTAAATGAGATGCGTGACGTCTACCCATGATGGAAAGTCTAATGTTCGGGAATGCAAGGCCGTGATTGCTTCAAGTTGTGTGAAATCCAACATGACATAGGGCGTCGTCATTCCGGAAAATGCCGGCAAGATATACTTGTCCAAATCGGGACGTGTCTACGATACGCAATAATTCGAACGACGAAAGTAAGCATTAGTTCGTTCTTAATTCAATTTTGTATCTACCAGTAGCTCTAGTACTATCATGAACAACAACGCCAACGCTAACGAAGTCGGAAATCGAGGCGGGGACGGACACGGAAACCAAGGTCACCAGGTATGTGGGGAATGTTCTAATTAATACTCACTAACGTTCGACAGATCCCCGAGCACCTTCTGCGAGTCGCACCGAGGCCTCGCGACGTGATGTTCACGTTGAGCGAAAGGCAACTCGTAAGTAACGACTCAATCAGCAATAAAAATTCTAACATATCTGAAGGAAATGTTGTATGTTAGATGGGACGCTGCGCGAATCCGCGTGCACCAACAGATCTACAACCCCCACCTACCATTTCAGGCATATCCTCTTCCTCCGGCCTGGTCCGAAGAAGCGCGCGCCATGATGATACTCTGGGTTGCTAGGGAACGCCGGATGTTTGAGCTGGAGATGCAGGAGTTGGAATATCTGCTGGGACTGAGAGGTGCGCATTAGCGCTTCCAGGTGAGCCGGTGACTATAAAATCCTGCATGGACTTACGAATGTTCGGCCATACGCATGAACAGGCTGAGAATGAGGTTTAGCGATTGCACATATTGGACGCACTTACTATACATGATGTAACACCACCACTCACGCTATGATGTCATTCGAACAGACTTTACTGGGGCTGCCCGCACATGTATGACTAGTCGAAGAATTGGCAGATCTTCCATTGTATCAGTGAACGACATGCTTGAATGGGGTGAATTTTAATGATCATCGAATCCAAGCGACTCACCACGGTTTAAGTCACGTAGTCAATAACCGGCTTTTCAATGAAGTCGATATCCGCGATCTCCAGGTGAGGGAAGTTCGCTTCAGCCTAAGCCTCATAATGCCGTGAAGGTGATGTCCTTGGAAAGGATGGGCATCAACCCAACTAAGCTACGGGAAACGTCGTTTGGACAAAGTCATGGCAACTGACATGTGGTTTGCCTGCTGCGGGCGATAGTCAGAAACATGTTTTCAGCTTTTCTAGATAATGAAATCCCAACGTGTCAGTGTATCAACGGAAGGCAGTGTAAAGACGCCAAGGCTACTCGCCTATTCCACCAAAGTAAGATATCATCCACTTCTTTCGCTGCTTCGGGTGTTGGAGGAAGTTTCAGATGGTCGACTATATTATCATAAAATTCTTGATTGTTGAATTCGCGTCATCAATGACGCGCCAAGATCCACGCACCAGTTAATTAACAAGCTGATGTGCGACCGATGATTGCTAGATAAATCTGTCGTGCGTTGCAGTATGAGAATAATCAAAGTAGTGAACATCTTGAATGGCCTGTTTCAAACAATGGGTACTTACTTGACACGCGGCACTAAGAGTGCATCATGGCCCGAAGCAGCGTGGAGGGAAACTCAGTGACCAAGAAACAACATGATTACCTAACAAGAAATTTCCCGCCTTTAGCGCGCCTTCCTTGCTCGGTGACCTGCAGCGTCGTCTGCCAGTTCATTCTGTCAATCGCCGCTCACAACTACCATGCAGGTTCAGTTAAATAAACAACTAATCGGTTTTTATTTATTAAAGTTCGCTACAAAAAGGTTCTTCACTATCAAAATTTGAATGCAGACCCCTCATCCTCAGAGTCGCTGCCAAAGTCATCTAAGTCATCTACATCACTGTCGCAATCTTCGGAAATATCCTCATCTTCGTCTGCGTCATCCTGGCTGACATCGTCATCTAAATCTCTATCGCATTGCCAGCTTTCATCTCCGAAGTCAACATTGGCATGGGCTTCAGGGTCCTCGTCATCCGAAACGTCTTCATAACTGACACCAGTACTTCCGCCCCCTACTGCGTGATCACGTTGGATGATATTCAACGAGTCATATTGAACTTGATGACCAACGCCTATGCCTGCGAAACGGCAAAACATGTCTCTATCGGCGAAACTGCACGAGTTACGGTGATGTGAGTATGAGACGAGATAAAGCTCACATGTTAACATAAAACGAAGCCCAGTCATCGACCTCTCCAGGCAGTCTTGCAGCGGAGGGACCTTGCCTGAGAAGGTCATTTGTACGATGATCAGCGAAAGCAGGGATAAGGTGGCATGCCCTGATCACTAGCGACGGGTCAAGAAACCCGAAGGCAGCAGGTGAGTCGGGAACGAATCCAATCTTTGGGAGGCGGCCTTCTTGGAAGCCCCAGCGGTACTGTGGCACAACGCCGAACCATCGCACCCACAAGACCTCCATGTACTGAGGCGAACGGTTACGAGCGTTGGGGCCAACATGAAGAACGTTAATAGAAAATGCACCCAATACCCGTGCATACCAAAAAGGGTGAGCGCTCGCACTGCTTTCTCTCGACAACATCATCACTGTAGAGCCATTTCCAGGTTTGAGCGTGTCTTGATCCCTACGGACATCATACGTTGTGTAGTTGATTTGGAAGCGCTTAGGTTGGAAAACGCCGTTCAGATTGTTGATGAAGCGCACATCATTTCGCTCGACGTCCGTAAATTCTCGTTCGTCGCCGTCATATTCTAAACCCAGCAAGCGAGAAAGAATATGGTCTTTAATTTTCGGTATGAAGTTCTATCAGGTAACGTTATTGAATGTGTTAGAACAGTCATACAAAAATATAACTTACCACGACAGCTGGGTCACCTCGATGCTCTTCAAGAAAACAAGCTAAATTGATGATGATACCCGGATAACTTGATAAACAATGGTGAGCTTCCAGCGGTAGTGGGCTTCCGGCAGGTTGATTATCTTTAGTATTGCCAGATTCTCGCAGACGTCTGATACGAGTGCGCCTCCGTTCTTGCTTCGCTAACTGTTTCGGAGGGTCTTGTTTATTTGTACTCTGGTAGAACCTTTTCAAAAGCCGATGTGCGAGCTCGCCCTGGAAACTCAAAGGATTAAGCTGTTTACTTGCCACTCGATGAAGGTGAATACATACTATTTGGGTAGTGTACGAGTCAGTGGTTCCAAACATTTTGATAGAGCTTACATAGTCACCAAGCGCGTGCAACTTGTAAGTTTGCATATTGAAAGCCTTGGGACGCGCTCCAGATGGCCCTGTTCCTGCACCTGCCGAGTTGAGATTGGAAATCTTCTTCTGACGGGCAGCAATTTCCCCTGGGAGTTCCATAGTCCGAAACACTGAGCATGTGGAATCCCGAAACTTTCGAAGCTGCTGTCCTAGACATCTAGTAGCTCGACTAAGTAGATCAAGGGAGTCGTCTGTGTGAATTCGAAGCTTTGCAAGAGCGTGCCATTCAGCCAGACGAAAGAGGAGAATACGGACAACTTCATCATGTGAGTTCGGGAATAGACCCTCGAATGCAGGGATCGCACACTGGATGACAATCAGATTCAAGAACAACACTGCAGCAAGGATCAAACTCACCTGTAAGACATCCTCGAAATGTCGTGCAGCTCTTTGTTTCACATCGGATACATTTGAAGGGAAACGTCGAATGGCACCCTTTCCAAATGACGGAATTGAGTGAAAACTTAACATCGAAGGATCGTCAGCATCAATTGAGGCTGCCGTGCTAATGAATACGTACCGTTCATTCAGTAAAGCTACTGATTCATGATTGATGGCATAAAGAAGCCTTATAAGATGCTTGAAGACGTATTTGAACACTCTGAGCTCGAATTCATGAAGGAGATCGACCACAAGCATAGGAAAGAAATCAAGGCCTAGATTTCCAAGTCGCTCATTGAAGGTATTCTAAATGCAAAATATGCTCGAGTTATTCAAAAAGGTCTGCAGCTAAATGCACTTACCAAAGTTGGCACCAATGAGAACGCCTTCAGAAGACGCTCGGCCGCAGCACCTTTGATCGGAGCACCTAGTTTGTATAGAACCTCACGTGCTGCAAAGACCTTATCTCTGAGGTATAAGCGCACACTCTTGATGCGTGCTGATATGTCAGCTTTGAGACCAAGCTGATCAAAGCGTGATTTCGGCAGAAAACACCGGGGACATGGGCAAACTCCTTTGTCGCAAATAGTAGCAATAAGGACTCTGTTTGAAGGTCGTCAGTTAGTGTGGAAGTCGATGCAGTAAATTAGCTCACTTCTCTGGGTAATCTGCCGAATAAGTAAAAATCCTTGGAAAGACTCGTCGAGATATGCCATCGTGGCATTTGATCACAATCCCATTCCTATACACATCTAGGAACTCATCATCTAATAGGATGCGCCAAAGCGCATGGAACAATTCCCGTTTGCAATGTGTGAGGATGTCGCTGATGCTCTTCGTCTTGACATATTTGCCAATGAAACCTACAATAGATTCTGGTAGCTAGAGACAAATCGTGTTAGGGTACTCGCTGATTGTCTGATGGGAAGGATGTAAACTTACAGAAGGGATAAATGCGATAGGGTGACAGGCATTGGTGGTTGGACAGGCACGGACGTATTTCGATTGGTTTCCAAAAAAAAGATAGACCGGCCATGCAGAAGCGTTGCCGAACTGAGCCAAGTGCGTTTCATCGGACCAGAACATGAGTCCAGCAATTACCCGCTCCAGCTGACACCCATCGTCCCTCTTTTGCTTCTGCAGCTCGTCGTGGGCCTTATTCCAGGCATCTGAAGTATAAAGCTCGTCATATAAGCGTTGTTCTCGTCCAGTTAATGGTGATTTCCAAAATCGTTTGAACGGAGTGAGGTGAAACCAGCGCGATGATGCCTCTGAGAAGGCTGCACGAATAACAGCTACGAGTGGCCGGTAATGGAAACCTGGGACAGTAAATAGTTGCCCGTTACCAGCTGTATTTCTCTCCCTAGTTGGTACTAGTATTTCCGCTACTGATTCCCTCCAGCTATCTCTTTGAAATATACCATTAGCGTCCAGTGTTGCTTCAGAGGCGTCAAAGCGCGTCATTTCGGTGTGAGCATTGAAATCATCGGGCACATCGTCGAGACTGAAATCCTTCGCCTTCAGCACTTCGCGAACGAGGCGAGTCAACTGAGATTCAGATGTAAGACCACTATTACTGGTCATCTTCCAAGACATCAAGCGCCAGATGCTCATACTCCTCCACGGCCAAGGGGGTGTTTACGAAGGAACTTCTGGGATCCCGGAATGATCAGTGGAATCCTGTTCATCAAGGGAAGGGAGATTGGACGTGATATTGGATAGCTGCTCAACAGAGACGAAAGCATCTGGGTCATACGATGGTCGGTGACGATACTCCCGTCCAATTCCAAATTGATTGAGAGATGTGCGAAAGGAATCAAATACATAAAGAACCACCCGGCGCACAACGTTCGTCGAAGCTGGCGCTGGAATGGCAGGTGGTGGGACCGGAAGTTCGTCCCTGAACCGTAAGGGTAGGCGATGCGTTCGAGAGGGACGGCCAGCTTGATTCTCTGGCTGCTCCTCCTGTACAATGTCAGGTGCAGAGGCACTAGACGAGGCCACTGCCGAATCATTGATGCTGGGCGGAGATGCAGGAATATCGGAAGAATCAGATGTCGCGATGTTCATAGGCATAGGTGGAGATTCCGAGGCAGAAGTTGGCTAACATTCAAATGAGTGGAGTTCAGGGTATGGTGTGCGGTAAATGCACTTACTACTTGAGCACTAAATTTCATCTTCTTCGCAGGAGGCGCTTGCGAATCTTGTAGGGACGCAGAGATGCGTTTGAAATGTTGTGACTGCAGAGTCAGTTGCCTCTGCCAATGTTTGCAGGTCTGACGGTGACGAGTCAGGCTTCTAGGCGCTGAGAACAATCGGTTGCATTCCCCTCCGCATTTGAGGTTCATGCTAACGAAAGCAATGATAAGTAGAAAAGCTGTCAGATCCTTGAGAATACGAATGAGTTTCATTGCCTCTTCATACTATGCACCGTGGATGTGATAGAGGGATCGCTTTGAAGCGAGGGGTTTCAGACCCCGCCGAACTCGTTTGCAAGATCGGAACTTGGTAGATTACAATGCAGGGTTAATAAGAAATTATGTAACGAAACACAGAACAGGTTAAGTTCCGAAAATATCACATGGTTAAAAGCCTCACGCTTGAAGGAGTAAGCAAAAAAGATGTCGTCCAACTATACCCTTGACAACGGCTCCCGCTCCAGCGACTTCGATGATGGGATTGAGACCATCTCGGCGAATGCCAATTTGCTTGAGAATCACTCAAGAAGTTCTACTCCGGAATGTCTTTGGGGATGCACTATGCGTTGTGACCACGGGCCAGGGCCCCATGTGTATTCCTGTAAATGCAATAGGCACCTGATTCATGTGCTTGAAAAATTCAAACAACCTACAAGGGGCCAAGACAGTGGTCTTGAAGGCACTGGTGAATCTCGTAGAAAGCGGAAAATTTCTGGAGATGACAATGTGAGTGTGTACAGCCCATTTTTTCTGCTGATGCACTTACCGCCACATGCAGACTCCACGCATCTTCGGCCATGACATGAGTAATAGGCGAGCAACATCATTGCCTATCATTGAACTTCCACCCAAGAAACGTAGGAGGATCGGAAGAAATTTCGTGTTGTGTGAAGAGGAATTGCTGGAGGCGGTCATGCAGGAAGTTGCGGGAGTGCATAATGCTATGAGCAAGATAGAAGCGATCTTCAACAGGCAGAACTCAGTTCTTCTCGAAATCTGTAACACTATTGGAAACCATGGCATGTGAATCGTTGTATATAGACGTTGTATATAGACTCACCATGTAATGACTTGAATCAGTACTCAGTGTCGATGCCCTGTGCGGCAGTGCGAATGATATGACGAAAATTCCGAAAGACCAAGATCACGTGAGCATCTGAAAGAGGCTGGCACGTGCGATGAAATCCAGTACGTCCCTTCCGGCGAGTGATGAGTCCAGCCTGTTCCACTGGGACAAGGAACGGTATGCCCACAGCGTTTGCTCTTGCGTCCGCCCACTCACATCTTGCAGTCGTCCCAGAGCCGTATATCACAACCCTCCAGCTAGTAGCAGCACTTTCATCTTTTTGAGCTGCTACAGGTCATGGATGAGCCAAAGCTTTCAAGGAGGCCAAGGGACCGTGATCCCGCTCAGCCAACCGATTTTGCAGAGCGCATGGTTGCCCCCTAGAGAAGAAATACCGTGTACGTATTTTTCTTTTGACTAAATATGTTATTTTGTTTATCTAGTTCAAGTCGTCCCCATGAACACCTTTATCTCGTCTGCAACTTTCAAATCCTAATCTGCCACCTGTTCCTTCCCGCACCTCATGTTGTACCCTGCTCAGAGGCAAACCCGGAAGATTTCTCACGGCGCCTCAAGATATCTACCCCCCCCCACCGCCACCACTACATAAAGCAGACCCAGCAGGGCAAATCATTCAATCCCAACACGGATCCCATTCCAATGAGACGCACAACTCAGCCTTTTCCGATGCAACAAGTAGTTTATCCCCGCCCCGCAACACCCCTACTTCCCATCAGAGAGACCCTCCAGCAAGTCGTCAACTATTCGATCACAGGAAGGATGATCCTGTGCGATTTGCAGTTCTCGCCCGTCCATCGTCAACTGGTGCCCGCCCTCCACCTACACCTAAATCATCAGGAGACTATGTCTCTGCGTCTTTGACTTCCTCATACGCTCATTTGTTGACGTCGAGCTTCACCCTTTCTTCTGGCACGACAGATAATTCATCTGCATTGTGCGCATTACTTGTCGCGCGCTTCTTATAATCTATTCGCAGAGCCAAGGTACGTTGATCCTGTATCACTTCACAACGACAGTATCTCACAAACTTTCAAGCAGCCGTCGTGCCTCCGCTTCTTCCCAATCATCTGAATTCACCCACTCCAAATCGAACACTTCCACCTCATTCCGCCAACACCGTCGTTAATGGGACTTATTCTGGAAGAGCCTGCATACTGTCAACGAACTACTACTATCGAATACATCTGAAAGGGCCCCGCGTCATTACATGCCATTGTTTTCAACCGCGTTGCGGACCTCAGCCATCACTCCACTTTGCCTATCGATGGCTGCCTCGAGTCTACTCACGGCTTCTCGCACACCCGCAACTTCAATAGCTAGTTTTTTGAATCTCTTTCTGAGCTCATCCGAGATGGGTTTACGAGTTTCTTTCTGCCCGTTGGTAACGTCCCGACCCTAATTGTGCAGAGCATCCACGTCAAGGTAAGCACATAATTTTGAAAGATACAGCTACATATACTTACATCATTCAAGTTGTCCTGTGACCTCTTTCGCTTTAGACTCGGACTCATCAGCAAAATCTCGAAATCCTCCGAGTCCGAGTCTGAGTCAAGGTTAGCAAACAGAGCTTTCCAGCGGTCGACGTCCTTCTGGTCATATCCTCGGGGTGCTAGATGTTCTGTTTTAGCCAGTCTGTGAGTTACTTGGCCAGAATATGAGTGATTCAAATCTGCCACGGTATAGCACCCGCAGGAATACACCGGACCACCTTGCCCATGCGACTGACCAGGGCCAGGGCAGGAGTCCTTGTGACTTTGTGGAGTTGAGATTCTTGACGCGGAGTGATGGTCATCCTTGCCTGCACTTTCAGTGTTCATCGAGAGGATAGCGTCGGCTCCATCATTAAAGCCAGAGGAGCGTGAGTCGTTACTAGTCTCAGAATCTGTGTCAGACAACATGTTCGCTGGTGTCCCCCTTCAAGTTGGAGAGTAATGTATTTAAATTCAATTCACTCCTCATCTCAAACTCACACAAAGACGGCTAACCCTGCTCTGATACAGAAGTTCCTCTTGGATTCTCCCTGACCCTGCATTCCAATGTGCTCGGGGTCCCGAAATTTTGTTGTCAAGTTCCGAGAGACCCTGCCGGCGATCATGTCACTTATGATATAGCGTCAAGATGGACTCAATTTTGAATTTCGACCGAAGTGCGGTTATTAAAACGGCTTAGGCTAGGGTTGAACGTTGAGTACTATTAGTTCTAAGTGGGGAAACAACCTAAATGTCTGCAGCCCTTCCATGGTACTTGACGCCACTTAGATGATCCGTCAACTCCAACTAAATGCATCCGGTGTGTAACACCTGCTGATAATTTTATATGTGAGTCAGATCCCATGACCACTACTAGTAACTGATGATGACACTCTGTTGCAAGGTTTCCCTCTACTGGTGCCAGCGATATTGGTCCACCACTAGTTGACCCTTCATTTCTGCTGGCCCTGCAACTCTGACATTCGAAACTTCTGTCAGCAACATTTGCGCAAGATCCGATACACTGAGACTAGTACTGCTTCCATGCTATGTCATTGGTGCGGTGAGTCACTTGTATTCAGGATCCCTGCACGGAGCATGATTTTCCTTCTCTCGATACGACACCAGCCTGAGGCTGCTGTGCTATTCACACCTGTCATGCCTTCCAACGCTAAGTCACTCTCCACAAGTCATACTCCTGAATCTGTCCTTTTCTATGCTGCTACGCCGCGGCTCATTTGTCAAGTTGAATATTTCATATTGGACAGGATGCAAATGTTCTTGTCAGCAATGATGGAGGACTCCAATCTGCCATGTGTTCGAGATCAGTCGCATTGACTTTAATTTTACCCCGGATACAAACATGTAAGGTTTAGTGTAAAATCGGCGTGTCGTGAAGATTCGAAATAGAAATACAATCTGCCTAGGTTTCAGTGTATCAAAGTGTCAGGGTTAAAATGCTCGGAACTTACTCGGACTCCTTCAACCCCGCATTTGCATTGCTCGGTCCAACAACACCGAGGGTTTGGACCCATGTGTAGTGAAAATAATTTTGACTAAAACATAGTTCAGAGGTCAGGTGTCCCATCTGTAAGTAATCCCCGAAAATGTTCTAACGAAATCATCCTGACTTCAGCCGTGCGACGGGTCAGGCTCGATAATTCGAGATCCCCGAACTTTAGGCTAGACATTTTCTAGTTTCCCCATCATCGTCTGGTACTCATGCCAGTGCCGGCGTTGCCCCTCGAACTCGAGAAAGAAATTTTTATTCTCGCTATTGATTGCATACAGCAAGCTTACTCCCTTCTGTTTGTTTCACGGCGGGTACATTATTGGTGAGCAATTCCGAAGCACCGAATGCTGAGTTACTGAGTAGTACTACTGTCGCAGGACTGAAAGGCTGCTTTATCGAAAAATCGTTTTGCCAAATGAAACCATTGCAGTCTCCTTTCTTGCCTCACTTCGTATTCGGTCCCAGCGCTGCAGTGATTTCGCTCAAGGGGCTGTGCAGTCACTGTGCATCGAGGGCGACGTACTTCTGAGTACAGCCGCAGATATCCTTTCCCTGTGCAGCGGTACCACCAATCTTGCATTATGGATTGCACCATCAGACTTCAACGGAACAACAAATCCTCTGCTGCGGCCCTTAAATGACCTCCCCCTAACATCTTTATCGCTTAGTTTATCCTCGATTTTCCAATACACCCAATTTGTCTCTCTTTCCACTTTCAAGGCCTTCAGTACAGCGACACGTCTTGAAATTCTCAATGCTTGGGTGTTATGGAACTCCACAGTTGGTCTGGAGTATCTTCATGGACTGACACACTTGTGCTTACATATTCATACGCGGAGGACTAAGCCAGAATTAGTGACGACCCTTCTTGCTTCGTCAAACCTTCAAGTAGTTGTGTTTCGCATCTCCGAGGATATCGACGCAGTGCAAACATTTTTGAAGTCTAATTCCCTCAGCGACTCTCGCATCGTGCTGGCATCTCAAGTTCCCACTGCCTGGGGTGAATTTGGAGGTGACAACATGTCTCTCTGGAAGGGTGCTGATCAAGTAGTAGATTGGAGACGCGCTAGTACACAAAGTATGTCTTTTTATCCTACAAACACGCGTATGAGCGGCTAACACATTCAGTAGGAGGGTCTGCACCGAGACAAAATGAACCTTTATACTGCTCGAGGAAACTTGCCTCCTGAGAATGACTATAGGACCGGGAACAGGGCGAGAAATGGGCCCGAAGCATGAGTTTAGGGCTGCTGCTGCGGTGGATTCATGTATAGAGGCTGAAAGCGGCCTAGGAGCGATCATCTGCGCTTTACATTTTACAAGCTCCACGGGGGTGTGCTAGTTGAAAACAATGATCAATTACAACTTTTGCGCAAGGTGTGGGTGACTTGCAGTATGAAACTGGTGATGGCGCCTGCGCCTGCACCAGCTAATGCAAGCTGAGGTAACGAAAGATCGTGTGACAAGTGCTGAGAGTTAATCCGCCGTATCACGTCTTGGAGTTCGGTATGGCATAAAGTTGACGCGCATCGTGGTTGTTCCCGTCCATGACAAGGTAAAGTTCCGCATAGAAAGCTGCAGATCTGACAAGGTCAAAATCAAGAGACAAGTCCATAGTATGAATGCAGGCCTGGTAACGGCTTGTGAATCTTCCAGTGGCATTAGTATAAGCCTAAAGCATGAGAATATAAGTCAGGGAGAAGCATGATTAAATCCAGTCACCCGCAGGCTAGCGTGTCTGTCCAAGAAGGCAGTACTTTGAAATTGAAGATGGCTTTAGAAATGCAGCACGGTGAGGAGAAGGTTATGCACATACAATCAGGCATTCTCAGCATGGCAGCCACTATCGGCTGCTGGAAGACCCTACGACCAGTATGAGCTCACGTCAACAAGAGAAAAGTTCTATTAAGAGGAGACAACGTACGCGGTAAAGACTTCTGACGCTTTCATTTCTCCATGTTTTAACGAGACAGTCCATTGGTCCATTGAATCTAGCGGCGGTGGTATCGAGAACTTGACATTGCGATCGCACTTTTGTCAAGTCAAATGGATGCTCGACAACTTTGGAACCATGCCTGCGAACTATGTCACAGGAACTGATTGTCAGTCTTTTGGCTCGAGAAAATCTGGGAAACGCATACTACCGAACATTTACTGCTCGCATCGCAGACGGGGCATTGAGGGTATGCTATCCCAAGATAATGGGTCGGATGCTGCATCCATGTCGATAATGAATGGGGTGGTGAGAGCAGGGAAAGAAACAGACTTCGAGAATACTATGCAGTCGGCATAAGAAGAGCTGTAATACCTAGCCGTACAAGTACTGTACCGCTGCTCACCAAATATTAGAGGGCCAGGGGAGTCTAGTATGGATGCGGATAGGGATTGTTCTGGATGCTACGGGATGGTAGCGCATTTGATTGAGCAAGAGTTGGACAGAAGAGCAAACTGACAGGGACTCGGAGGACATATCCATGACCCCACTGGGGGGTGAGCGTGTCCGGAAAATGCCGGGCGGTTTGTCAATGCCTCGTCATCGTCTTATCCCGCCGTCAGCCATATCCTACATGTCCTCCCGTCAATGCACCAACTGCTCCAGATCAAGTCCATTCAACGAAGACACCCGCAGCTTCGTCTATGGTCTCCAGCCATGTACCATCCGGAGAATATCGGATTTCCTACAACAGTAAACGCATGCGCCCCTCTGTGGCAGCTATGATTTACCCCTTTGGTGGAAGGACATGCTGCTTATCGACCCTGCTGCTGTTGGTGGGATCAAGCCTCCGTTTACTTCAGGATCTGGAATTCTGAAGGTACTTCCCTCTCTTTTTGCTTGACTCGCACTGACATGAATATCTTCTCACAGCATGACAGATAGATAAGTTCTTCCTCCCCGTTAGTGTCGACTACGTCTTTAAATCCGGAGGCATTTCCAACGAACTCAACAACATCCTCAGACTCATCACAAACGGTACCTACGATGATAGGATAAATCATCAAACCTTAGGACTCTCCTCGCTACAAACACGAAATTCATCTCACCCACTTCTATGATCGTGTCTGTTACGGCGATGGCTTGTGGAGCTACCGCATACATCCCTATTGGCCGGTCCTGCGATTTCCCAGGTGAGTGCTCGTGCCGCGTAGTCTTGTGTTCCGGGCTGTGGGGGATGTGCTTATGGTTGCTTGCAGGTGATTTTGGATGCTTACAGGACTCGAGTGTTAACGGCGGGAATGCATTCATTTATGAGTGTGTGTATCGACCGACACCTTCGTGTACACTGCAGGCCCTGACTGCCCCACTTGCTGTGAGGCCACCACCAGCGGTGCGTTCTGCACGTAATATAAGAGGTGAGCGCGGTTTTCGTCGATACCTCTTGAATATGAGTGCTGACGTTGCGCCACCCTCATTTTTGGGTGTAATTCTGTTATAGTAATGATGAGCAGAGGTGTATTGATAGACTTGAACACCATTGTGACCATAGCGTCAGTCGGTAAGACGTTCATAGTTGCCTTGTGATGCCAAATTTCACTGAGCACGACTTTCTGCATAGCATCCATTGACTGGGGATGTACTGTGCAAGTCGTGGCTGCAGTATCGATTGGCTCAGCGCTCATGCGATCCCAATCATCGCGCGCTTCAAGCCTGGTTCAAACTTGAACATCCCCTCGTTTCTCCTGCCAAACCCGCGCCTATGAGATATCTGAATTCAAGAAAGAGGCTTGCGCACGTGGCTGCTCAAAGACCGGCATCTACTGGGACATTCAAAGTAAGTGTACTCGTGCTTTTGGGAGACTGCTGCTGAAATTGCGTGCTTAGTTTTATCATATCTTTCACCAAGGACGACTTCAGCCCGGAGGCACGTGGCTTCGTCGAGAACTCATATCTACGAGGGTTGACGCCGCAGGAGTTTTTCTTCCATGCCATGGCTGGAAGAGAAGGTCTTATTGATACGGCCGTGATGGTACACTATGATGGCACTGTTCGCAACTCGCTTGGAGATCTCATCCAGTTCGTGTATGGTGGAGACGGTATGGACGGTGCGTTTCATCGAACGTCAGAAGATTGAGACCTTTGGCCTTGACAATGAAGCCTTTGAGCACAACTATCGCGTTGATGTCACGGATGGCAAGAATGGATTCTTGCCTAATACCCTCCAGATTGGCGTTGATGATAGTTCTCTGGAGCTGCAGATGAAGTTGGATGATGAATACAACTTTGAGTCTTACAGCTCGAGGCATGTACATGATACTAAACTACACCAAGAATCGTAAGTGCTACCGCTCAATGCCTCTTAATACAAATGGTACTAAAATATATCTTACACTTAACAGTACGCCTCACGAATTATGTCAAGGACCTGGTGGACTTAGACGCATGATTCCGACGAATTGTCTTGTCTTGTCGCTCGAAGACATTTTCTTTTGCGTGTGGATACTACGGCAGATAGGTTGCTAATGGTGAAGGTTTGCTTTCTACTGGACGGGCTCACCTACTGTTTCTAACCGCTTTCCATATTACAGCCTAGAGCTCTGATGTGCCAAATGGCCGGCTTTATCGAGATAACTGATGATGTGGACAAAGAAGTCCATAACCATCAGGGGACAGAGGCGGTGAAACACGGTAAGGCATTCAGGCGATATGATCTCAATGTCGTCTAATGTCCTAACCCCCAGTGAGGTGAGCGGACGGAGAAACATTTCGATCCACCCGCGCCGTGGCTCTGCCTTGTCAAGTTTTGCCAGAAAGTCGTTGATGGAAGGATAAGAGACATTGGGGTCAGTCTCGAGCTCGAAGTTGGTAAGTATAGATGTCATGTAGTTTGCGTTGTTGGGGCTACAGTACGCGGACCTATGGTTGGGGTATCGCCCTCGCTTTCCGCTTCACTAAAGGTGACTTTCAGGCATTATGTAACTGCTGTCGCATGATCGACAGAATCATCTTGGAGCAAACTCTACTAACAATTTACTGACCCTGTCATCTGTTTCAGCCAATATGTATGTGGCGCATGTGCCGTCCATGCAGGGTTGCAACGTCGAAGAATGTACGGAGCCGATATTCATCACGTTGTGTGAGGTCCAGGCTAAGGATCCCCAACAAGTTAGCTGCCTCAAGGTCCGTGTTTCATCTCCGCCATGTTTCCTTAGCTAAATTGACCATCATGCGTATTCCCTAAGCCCCCACTTGGTATTCTCATCCACGCAATGGCAACCTCATCTCTGTCTCCATCTGAACCAGACAACAACGAGATCCACCCTCTAGTCGCTCTCAAAAGACGAATCGCCGCACTCGAGGAAGAAAATGCAGACCTCCGAGTCCGTGGGCTCCCTGGGAACAAAAGGTACGTCTAGTGTTCAAAATTGCGGCACAACTTGATAAAAAATTAAAGTAGTGAATCGAATGCATACTATGGTCGACCAATTCGAAGACTCGTATGTCTGACCGAGCGCGTTGAAGATTTGGTAGCAGAATTCAATAGGCGCATTGTACTGGGCGCCGTCAATGAATCAGACACGGACAAGATGGATTCAGATGACCCAGAGTAAGTACATCTTTACAACTTTCACTGGTTAGCCCTCAGGTCATGTTTCAGTGAAAATAGGCGGTATCGCTCCTTCAAGAAACTTATGGAATGGTGTCCCTCGGCTCGTAATTTACTACGGTCGTCAGCCGAGCACGAAATTCTTGCTTTTGCCTACAACAAGGTGAGTCTCTCAAAAACAATTCATTGACGAAATGTGATTGTATCTCGCATCCAGCTGAATGAAGGCTCTGACGGGGCCAGAGGAGACGACTCTGCTAGTCTTAAGTGTGCTGTCGCCGATTGGCTAATGGAACGCACTCCCACACCAAATCCCACCATTCACAGACAAGACAAGTCTGGTCGGGGTTTCTACAATGACGTGACGGGCGGACTCCTGTGCCCAGTTGATTACGACTGGAGCAATCCCATGTAAGTACTCTTTTCTGACCTGCGCCACAATCATCTTATGTCTTCAAAGTGTTCGAGCCTCCATTCGAGACTACCATCCCGATTTCCGTATCACCGCTTGCTCCTGGCCGTCATTCCTGTACGAGGATGGATGCTATGACCCCCAGAATCCTGCCAATGGTTTGTTTAAAGGCAAACTACTTGTAAAGGTAAGATTATCATGTTTGGTAGAAGCATACTGAATGCAGTCTCCAGGCATTCAAACACGTGTTCACCTCTCCAACTTCCACATACGAGGAACAACCTGCTGACTCGGCGGCTTGTTCTGTACGGAAGAAGAACAGTGCCGAGCGTCGCACTCGGCGCGATGTTTCAACACTCCTCAATATGCGATCTATTCAACCTCGAGCCATAGCCTATGTGTCTGTTCAGGTACAGACTATTTAACTCAATGTTGTGCGCTTTGCTGATTAGGGATTTAGCTAAGATTTGCGTTGTCGAGCGCGGGATCTTGGCGCATCGTTGACGACGAATTCAACCATCAAGAGTTCTACGACAATATTGTGGACTATCTCAAGCTCCCTCCGTCGCCAGAAGCCGCGAAAGATGTCGACGACCTTTTGCTGTGGTGGAATCAGTGAGTAGTTTTGGCATCACCGTCTTTTGTTGATTCATTTGGGGTTCGTTTTTTAGAAAGGTTTTTGGTAGAAAATTTGTCTCCGATTATCGCCCGCAGCATGCGAACAAAATGTCGGTCGCCATGACTTTGGCCAGGCGCTAGATGTAGTTAAGTTTGGTTAGTACTTAATGTTAAATGTTAAACTGCTAGCTGTATGTAATTTTACATTGTACATAATGAATGATTAAAATTTTTCATAACGCATTGCCGAGTGAGATTCTAGTACCATCAGCAATATTTGACATTAAGACCTGCGATAGACAATATGCCAGACATTCCGCGCTACCATATGATCGAGACAAATGGTCCACCTTCATCACTCATTTGGTATCTAGTAGTCAACAAAAATATGATAGATGTGGGACTTCATGCTATGAGTTGTGCGCGATGCCGCAGTATTGAAAGTTGGGTGGGTTTGTCTCAAGGGCAACAATACTAAGTGATCGGGGACACATTTACATAACTTGCAAGCTCTGTTAGCATACACCACACTGATACATGTGGGCTACAAGCTCCATACAGATAATTATGTTCGAAGCACCTAAATTCTGCAATACAATTTATCTTCCGTATATTTCAGTTACCATTGCCTAAATGTTTGACTTTCCGTAGTGTAGTTATAAGGCAATGTATCGCACGAAAAAGATGATAATCTCTTCACTTAAATGGCATACTTGGTAATCTGTCAAATGTATACAATTATTATTTAAATTGACCAAGGAGGCTAGGTGTGCAAAGGTATGTATGATGTCCAATACTTGCTAGTTAATCATCTTGTAAATATTTCAGTTGCCGTTGCATAACGTCTGACTTTCCGATGTGTAGTTATATGGTAGTGTATCACACGAAAAGGATGATGATTTCTTCACTTACATGTCACGCATGGTAGTCTGGCAAATATGTAAGGTTATTATTTAATTTGGCCAAGGAGGCTAGGTGTTTAAAGGTATGTATGACATTATATAACTACGTGCCATATTTCACCTGATTGCAGGTATTATGACCATTATAAGGGGGATATAATGGTTTATAGTGGATCTTGACTTTCAGTGATGATGATGGTCGGGGATTGCCGACAACTCTCCGCGAGTCTTGGTTCTTCATGAAAATCGGTGCTCAATTAAATGGTCCATGCATATGGTGAAATATAAAGGTTATTAGTGCTGTGAAAGGATAGTGATAAGTCACAGTCGACAATGTGGTCGTGTTAATGAAGGAATGAATTGAGTGTACCAGTATCATCAGCAAAACTCTTCAAATGTCACAACACGTAACATTACCTGATTAGGAATTGTGAAAATGTTCGAGTATTATGACGCATGTATGCGTGCGTCATACAAACATTACACATTATAAACACGCCGCCACCCTTACATAACCTTTGGCGCAGCTCAAACACAGTGGTAGCAACATTATATCGTAGTTATAAGGTGGTAGTACTATTATATGTACCTCGCTACAGTTATAAATGCATATATGCGCAATAGAAACAAATGCACTCTGCGGCCTCCCAATAATGAGCTCCAAGATTGAACATGGTGAATTAATAGCGGGTCACACCACAAATTAAACATGAAAACCTAGAATATCAAATTACAGAGCGCCATAGCCTTCCGCTATCAGAAAATCATCATCTAACTCTTCTCCCTCGTCCGCTTCTATCCTATTGGGATCATCTTCTTCTTCGTCATCTTCGTCCTCGCCGATCTCACCCTCATCTTCCTCTTCCTCCCCAATCTCACCCTCATCCCCCTCCCCCTTGTCCTCCCCCTTGTCCTCCCCAGCTTCATCCTCCTGTTCTTCTGCCTCTTCATTTATCACCTGCGCCCCATCACTTTGCAGGAACTCATCCCATTCGCGGTGTAGAGACTCATGCCTCTCATGGTGTGATATGGCACTTTTCACTAGAGAGTTCATTGCACGAACTTGCAGCACCATTCTGTGTGCTATCTGCAGCTATCCCTATATGAGGCGCAGCTTTCCCGCGCAACGCGCGCCATGCGCGCACCATTCCCACGCTTCGCGATGTATATACGCGTGCGCTTTCCCGTGCTTGAGCGCCCTATAGCGCCAGCCATCCGGAAGCATCCATCCACTGTCACTTCAGTCACCCCTCTCAAAGTACCTCTTAGGTACATATATTCTGGCTTACAATCTCACCTAAGAGGCATGATCTTAGACGGTATTCCCATGCAATGCAGGTTGTATCCCGGGCCAATTCAACACTTTCCCCACGAAGCCTGGGCCTGCTGGGCCAATGTATTTGATCTGTCCCATGACCCATCTGGGTCATCCTAAATACTTTATTATATGAATACACAGGGGGTGTCAGGGGTCATTCCTCATGAAAAATGACCCACACATTCAGACACTTAGAGTATAATGTAAGCTGGATAAGGTCCTTGACCTACGAAATTCAAAGCAGCTGGAGGAGGGGGGTTATCTTTGGAGATGAGGGAAGAATGTAAGTCGGATAAGGTCTTGACCTACGAAATTCAAAGCAGCTGGAGGAGGCGGGAAGAAATTTGTGGTAGGAGGGGGGGTTGTCTTGAAAGATGAGGGAAGAATGTAAGTCAGGTAAGGTCCTATTTGTGGTAGACGGGGGGGTTGTCTTTGAAGATGAGGGAAGAATGTAAGTTGGGTAAGGTTCTTGACTTAAGAAATTCAAAGCAGCTGGAGGAGGCGGGAAGAAATTTGTGGTAGGAGGGGGGGTTGTCTTGAAAGATGAGGGAAGAATGTAAGTCGGGTAAGGTCCTTGACCTAGAAATCCTTCTTGACTCTGCCCTCACTCCAGATACTGACATATTTTACACTCCACCTGGTTAATTCGCACAATTGGAACATGCCCTGCACCACAATACTCCAGGTTTTATTGGAGTAAGTGTCATCACATATTACTTTGGATGCAAGCATGAAAGTGGAAACAAAAAGACAGTGACTGGTCAATGCGGGATAGCCCACCACTGGTTTATAAGGTGACTGGGCCAGCCCGGCACTCTCCTATGCATGATGTGGGATAGCCCACCGCTGGTTTATATGGTGACTGGGCTGGCCCAGCACTCTCCTATGCATGATGTGGGATAGCCCACTGCTGGTTTATATGGTGACTGGGCTGGCCCAGCACTCTCCTACGCATGATGTGGGATAGCCCACCGCTGGTTTATATGGTGACTGGGCCAGCCTGGCACTCTCCTACGCATGATGTGGGATAGCCCACCGCTGGTTTATAAGGTGACTGGGCCAGCCCAGCACTCTCCTATGCATGATGCGGGATAGCCCACCGCTGGTTTATATGGTGACTGGGCTGGCCCGGCACTCTCCTATGCATGATGTGGGATAGCCCACCACTGGTTTATAAGGTGACTGGGCTGGCCCGGCACTCTCCTACACATGATGCGGGCTAGCCCACCGCTGGTTTATATAGTGACTGGGCTGGCCCGGCACTCTCCTATGCATGATGCGGGCTAGCCCACCGCTGACTGGGCTGGCCCAGTCCAAATGTTATTACTTGTTTGTCACTATTTTTCCACATTCTATAAAAGTTCTGTACAGTTTTTCTTCTCTCTTTCTTCTACATTCTATTTTGCAACATCCACATCCAGTATTAGGCCTTCAATTGTTCTCTCTCCTTTCTTTACTATTTCACTAGGTTGCTCATCTGGGTCAGTACTTACTCCTAAGCCTCTCTACTTTAACTAACTCATTTTTTATTGTAATATTCCCAGTGGTGACTTGCTCTTGCAAATCTGACACTAGTTTAGCAGCACATTCCATGGTTCACCAACGATCTCTCAATTTCCTGACCTATGATTTCATCAATCGCTGGTTCTTAATTGTCCTCATCCTCCTTATCATCATGGTCATTCTATATGGAAGCTACATTCTGTATCTTCAACGCACAACTACCAATAGGTTAAATGCCCTTGGGCTTCAACCCATCACCACTCCTCTTCCACGGACCAGATCACCAAGCCCTCCTGTTCTTGTCGCCTAACCTCATACAATATCCAAGTGCAGGACTTTTATGTTAGTACTCCACTATCCCTTCTTACCCAACTGCCTGATAGGTGTGATATGGGTTAGCTTCTTACTTGTTCAATATTCAAGGGACAGTCTATTATACACAGTGGGATAGCCCATCACTAATTTCATATGCACGGGTCAGCCCAATACAAGCCCTTATACACAGCGGGGTAGCCCATCAGTATTCATACGTAGTACGGGTCAGCCCAATACGAGCCCTGGGCTGGCCCACCGCAGATTACATAGACACTGGGCTGACCCACTGCATATATATATATCTTCAACATACCACCAGGGATAGCCCATCACTACTTACATATGTATGGGTCAGCCCAATACGAGCCCTGGGATGGCCCACCGCATATTACATAGACACTGGGCTGGCCCACTGCATATATATATAGCTTCAACATACCACCAGGGATAGCCCACTTACCATCAATTGATCCTTGGGATGACCCAGCAACCCAATCTATATATAAGTGGGATAGTTCATTATTCTTAATGTATTGAGTGGGATAACCATGATGACCTAAATTTACACATATGAAAACTCCTCGATGCTGACATTATCTTTCGAGTGCCCATTGTGCACCACAGTTTGGGACCACAAAACACATAGTCATTCAAGCTATCATACACAAGTACATACGCAATAGTTCAAGTGATATGAAACATTAGTCACGGTAAACAAAATCACGATCATATGAATCATACCCAGGAGCCGGAGTGTTCCTGCCATAATCGGATCTCTCACGTGGCCTTGCAACCACTCTCGAAGGGCCTGCAGCCGAAAAATCATGGCGATGATGATGGGCAACATTATGCCCATAGGAATGAAGATGATGCGGAGACACCTGCTGTACCTCATCATCCCAGTGCTGACGTGGTTCGTAGTCAGGTGTAGGTGCACGAGGGCGAGGGCGAGGTTGAAGTTGAAGTCGAGGATGAGCAAGGACAAAGTGCGGAGGTGGCAATTCAACATGCGGCGCACCATCACGATGATGTACGACCTGAAAATTAACTTGAATGAGATAATGATAGAAGATATTAGTCTTCAGCTCACCTTTGACTTCTTCCTGATACGAGAGTCTGATGCATCCAAGCTATCAGCCTCAGATTCAAGTTGTTGATCTGCTGGACACTCGATTAGAAGAGAATCTGCAAGTAATTAATGGACTTGCCAAAATCCTCTGCATGTGGTCGCTTGCAAGACTTCTGCAGCTGAAATGCCGATGGGCGGCGTTCTGGACGGGGCAGACCATCAGCAGTGTAGTGGTCCTCATGAACAATAGAATATTCACAAGCAGCGGAGGTCTGTTGTTGAGACCGGCGATCCCGAGTAGTATCTCCAAGCTGCCTCCCTCCCGAAGGAGCGCCGACATTCGAACCACGTATTGATGTTGCTTCCTTGTACTTTTGAAGCAACCCTCTGGGGATGGACTGCTTGAATTTCTCGGAGTCTGCGAGTTTCCGGAGAACGATGTGGGAAGCGCTGGTGACCAAAGGAATGTCAAACATTTTAGCGTCGTCCTTTTCACATTGCTCGATGTGATCTGCAGCAACAACATTAGACATGAAAATGAACAGGGCAATAAGTACCTTTCGGCCAAGGAACAATATCAATCTCGGACACAGCGACATCCAACTCGTCAATGATATCATCAAGAGTTTTATCGCTGCGTCCTTGCTTGCGCCGAAGTTCGAGTAAGTTCTCAGCTTCCGTCTTCAGTTCGGCGTCATAATATTGCGAAGCCCTGCGCTTGATGTAAGGCACGACGAGTAACTTCAGGTGTTGTGCGCTGAGGGTGTGGTAATTGAAGTCCGGGCCAACCGGGGGAACTTCGTCAGGCCAGAGTTCGAATTGGAACTTGTTCTGGTATGCAACGTCGAGTAGCTTCCGCCACTGGACGGACTTCGTTTTATAGCCGAATTGTTCTGTTGAATAGACTTGAAATCGAGTCATGGACGGGAATAAGTTGAGCTTACCTAGTTTCTCAAGCACCATGACCGGCCAGATACGTCGGTAACGGTCCCGTGGGGCTTCACCAGGCTTCGAAAATAAAATATCATAAGCTCCTCCAAACCGCGGCATTGCGAGCTGGTAGTTTTTTGCCCTGGACACATTGTAAGATTAAACTCATAGTAGTTTCAAGCTACGTACTTCACTGCAGTAATAATCCAATCTAACGCAAGTTGGGCGTCCACTTGGCGTTCATTGATGAGATCCATGAACGTGGATGAGCCTGCGACAAAACCCGAGGCCTGTCGGGCCGCCTCATCAGGAGTTGAATCAAAGACACAGCCAATGACCTCAATGCCTTCTAGGCGAGAATAAGCTGCAAACTATGCAACAGTAAGCCATAATACAAACAAGTACTGTCAAAATAATTACACGCTTAGCGAGTGCATCCCTTGTAGACATAATGATACTGGCACGCGATCGATTGTTATTAGCACCGCCCAAGTGACAATCATAGTGGGTTTGTATGTCATCCCACAGAGGGTCACTGTCTTGAAGGCTGTAGTAGTGGTCGCGCTGTCTCTTTCTCCAATCAACAAGTTCTACCAGAGGATATTGGTTATTATGGGCACCACGACATGAAATAAAAACTCACCTTCATCGGTTTCTCGAGGATATTTTCCTTTGTACCATCCTTGGTGCATGTTCCATGGGGTCTCGGCCCTGGAGTGTTTCACAGACAACCCGGCCTCGATGAGTATTGTACGTGCAGATTTTCCATATTTGTCCCCAATTATCTTGGCAGTGTGAAGCGTCTTGCGCCCGAGCTCCTGCGCGTCGTCTATGCCTTCCTGGCACAGCCGCCCAGGTCTAGAAGTGACGGGAAGGTCGTCGTCGTCATCATCAGTCTCCATTGCCATGGAGCTTTTCGGCAGAGCACTGGAGACGGCACTCTTCTCGACCGACTTCGTCGTCACATGCCCGGCAGCCTGGAGTACCTGGGTGGTCAAGGAAGTCTCTGTTACTGTTGAATTCGGGGGGAGAGCTTTTGGAGGCGCGCGCTTCTTGGGCAACTTCGCCTTTGATGGAGGCGCAGGTAAGTCGTCGTCGTCGTCTTCTTCTTCTTCTTCTTTTTCTTCGTCGGCTTCTTGATCTTCTTTGTATTCATCGTCATCTTCATCAGACTCCTCTTCCAAAGAGGAAGGATCATGCTGAGCAAGCATTGCACGGCGTTCAGCCCGACTCCTTGCTTGTCGATTTCGGTACGGGTAGTTGCTCTCCGAGGAAGGGGTGCCATCGAAGGAAGAGCCTTCATCCTCTGGAGTATCAGAGGGGGGTAAGGATTCTGGGAGACGAAAAAAGGACTATTAGTGAAAAGAATTGATGGGAGACGGTGGTACATACCATGAATTTTGGTATCATCTACAGGATTGCCCTTGTCAGACTCAGTGTCAGTGCGCGGCTCTGTGGTAGCAACGGAGGATTTCGCGCGCCGGGCAAGGATGGCGCTGTAGTCGTCGAAGTTCAGGAACGAGTTCCCTCTCGGCAAGGGGGTAGGTTTGATTTTTTTGGCGGGTGGTAGTGTCTTAGTCTGAAGCTTTCAAAGACAACAAATATCAATGTCTTGTGATAAATAAAATAAAAATAAAAATAAATGTACCATGCGTTGGTTGATAGGCGCACCACTGCGGGTACGCATCACGAAGTCGACGACTGGAGTTTCCATCCGCGGGTTAGCGCCCTTTTTGGTGGAAGAAGCTTTTTTGGGAGGCATGGCAGAGGGAGCTTGAAGAACACAAAGTCCTCAAATATGACAGCAAGGTGCTTGAAGAACACAAAGTCCTTTTCAGCGGCCAAGAAGACACGAAGTCTCACAAACAGCGAATGCAAGTAAAAACTGATGTAGGAGTAAGTTAGAACAGTATACAAGCGTGATGGAGAATTCTAATCTACCTGACTTTTCAAGCAAATTCTCAAGACGAGAAGGAAAATACTGTAGTGAGAATGACGTTGAGTGACAGAGAGTTGATGGCGAGAAATTTGAGCATACCTGGTTTTTAAAGGTAGGAACAGGGCGCCTACAGTGTACTATAAGATCATCGGCTGGACGACGAACAAACTTCGCCAGAAGAGTTCAATACTCTAATGGCGTGGCTTCCCAGATGGCAGATATGACACACAGATCGCATTTGGAATGGGCGAGGCCATCCATGGACACAGCTGTGGGTGGACACTAATTAATGAAGAAGAATTAACAGAAACCGCAGGCTGGACTAACCTGATAGGGCCGGATCATCAGTAGGGACCGCAATGACAAGTGTCGCCAATATAGGAGAGCCTGAGCGTAGATAGATGGCGCATCATTAAATGCGAGTCTCCAAGGAAATCTCTTTGAGTGCGTGGGGCCGCCTACCAAGCTATCGGCTTGAAGTGAAGGCTTAACAGCATCGCAAGCGGAAAGTCCTGTCAATGACATTTTAATAGTCTGAGGAGCGACATGCCAGACAGGATGATGTGCACTGACAGGTTTGTACCCAGCTTGATTGCTTGATATCTATTATCAGACACCATGGTCGACAAATGATAACGCTCTCACCTAATATGGCTGATATTCAATGACCCTGTGAGGAATAGGCATGAGCATCGCAGACTGCATCTAATTCAAGAGTGATAATGGGCGCTGACGATTAGATGCGAGCTAGACAATTAAGAATGGTTCTACACACCTGTATGTAGACCATGTCTGATCCTTCGCCTTCGACAGACACCGATCAATGGTTGTGCTAGGAAATACTGGAACATAAGTTGAGTGCAAGAAGATGAAAAGCAAACTATGACTTAGCTACCAGACAGCGTCGACAATAGCACCCAACGACATCTGCTATCGCGAAGGCAGGAGCTCCAAGAGACTGATGAGTGTCGAAGCAAATGGAGACGGTAAGCTGGACATCGGAGGACGGTGGCAGATTGAGTAGTAGTAACAGTGCTAACACGAAGTCAGACTGTGTAATGTATCTGAGGTGACACGAAGTCACTTCCGATAGTGTGAGCTACCGCGAAGGCAGCTTCAGAGGAGTCGAGGTGCAGAGTAGTGCTGGAATAGAGAGGAGGAAGGTCACCGGCGTAGTTGGCTGAGGTTGTCAAATGTTTGTTCTAACACTTCTCACTTCACAAGTCTCACAAGTTGGTCACAAACCCATTTGGGTTATCCCAGGGCGTAATCCAAACACTTTGCGCCTTTACTTACCTTTTACCCTTTACCTTTTCTCGTTCTCTTTCCAACTCTTCCATCTCCTCCCATCTCATCGTTGCTGCCGACTATTCTGCCTTCGTGGTAGACAACCCTATTTCAGTGACTTCGTGTTACTGTGCAATAGCACTCGCTACTCTAACTTCGGTTACAGTATTACTCTTCAACACGTTCACTGGCAGATTCCTCCGAGTCTTAGCTTGCACTTACTGTGCCTTTGTTGGTTCGTCGCTCGATCACTCACTCTCATCGGATAGTCATCTTTCCATTATTCGCAGTCCCTCTGACAATGCCTCTGACAATACCTCGTGAATTTAAACCATTCTTACGCGATGGTGACAGTAAGTGCCCTTAGTGATTGTCCTGTGATCCTCCTCTAATTTTGATATAGATGCTATTACAGCTACAGACGCACGCTCTCTCGCCTATGACGGTCAACTCGTTTTCACTTCGCCTAACATGACTTTCGTTCCCCAACTATACGACAATCCCTCCAATATCGTGCAAGCAAGGGCGGATGGGAAGTTTTGGGCGATGGATCCTTTCCAATGGCCTCAAATGTACGCAGACGCTTACACCTGGAGTTTTACCATTCCGCGATGCGAATTCCATGAGCCTGGCACTGACCTGTGGTATGCTTGGTGGTCGCCAGCTTTTTCTGACGATTTTGAGCCATTATCTCCTGGTCATGTCTTTGGCAAGCTGAAGTCCACCCACCGTGATCATCTATTTCGACTCTACGAACAGGCTAACAAGCGTGTCGGTTCCTACAAGCTATTCCGAGAAAACAAGCAAGACGCGGTTGTTGGATGGGTCACTGGGTTGCGCTCTGTTTTTGAGCGCTTTAAAGAGACGCGGGCATGGCGAGATATTGTGATGATCTTGGCCGAGTTTCAGAGGCGATTCTTGGAGATATGGAGCATGATGGATTACCTTGAGATATTTGAGCCGCGGTTGAAATTTGAGGACAGAGCGCACGGGGTCAACAAGACTTGGATGGGGTGCTTCACCAAAGACTCCGCTATCGCGTTGAGGCTCCACAAGGCTGGTGTACCTATGTGGTTGATACAAGATGTCAGGCTCGTCGATGATAATATTAACATCCGCCAAGTCGTTCCCTTCACTCCTGCCGACCTTGTGTTTGGGATGTACCTCCATCCCATTAAGAACTTCGCTCAACCTTTCGATATCCGGCACAAGGGTCCAAGTGATCATCAACGCCAGGCTGCGGTTCGTCAGCCATACCTTACTTTTGAAGAGATCCCCATAGATCACACCGAAGTCAATCGCTTTGCAGCTTCCAGAGAGCCGTCATCGGGTAAAGCACCCACCAGGACCATGAAAAATAAGTCCGCAGTATGTACGTGCAGTGTCTAATTTCGGTTCGCCATTCTTATCTAATGACTATCTAGATGAACCGACCGCTCTGCGCCAGAACCAGTCTCAAGTTGGACGTGACAAATGGTGCGACGTGACTCACCCATTCATGCCCAACATCAACACCTTCTTCGCATCGGCTATGAGTCACGCGGAGAAAGATTTGAGTCGTGTCAAGCCAACCCGCGCAAGAATGGATGAGGGATACAGGCTCCCTGATCCTGGATTATTTGTCAACGTCCTTTCCTCACAGTCTCTCAAAAAATATCTCGCTAACTGGTTGGCATGCCGTGAGTTGTGGCTGAAGCATGTTTATATGTCGCCTCCATCTCCGCTCCCTCGGTCCCAAAGCTGGCGTGATCTATTGATCATGCAGCCAACACCACAGCCCTCGTCGTCAAGTGGTCAGATGCCGTCAGGCAAGACTGGCAAGTCCAAAGCCAAACTCGACGTATTCTTTGGAGATGAACTATCGCTTCTACGCCAGTTTTGGACTGGATCCCAGATGTTGCAATGGAGGGGTCAGAAAATCGAAGCAGCAATGCTTGAGAATCCACCGCATTATCTCGTTCAACAGATCATATATGAGATTTGCGAGCAAAGCTTCCGATACGACCTTCTGGAACTTGATGAACATCTTGCCGGTCATATGCGGCTGGATCGGGAGGCGAAGAAGCGTCGCATGGAGTTGCTCCGTGGAATTTTTCCTCAGCATGCCCTCACCATGTGGGACAAGGATTTTTCGACTCGGAATGATGGACTTAATGCTGAGTCTTTCCACGATGCTCTTCCATATTTCGAGAATTTTCGTCAAGTGTTGATCGCATGGGATGGTGCTCCTCAAGATCTTAAACAGCCTTTCACCGAGTCGATGCCCGAGGGAGAGAAGTGGCAACGCATGAAGCAATGTGCCCTGTTTTATGTACAATCATTTTACGACAACACAGGTCGCCCCCCCGTGGTCCCTCATATACTTTACGCGGCTCCATAGACGATTTACACTCGCTTCTGTTCGCTTCTGTATTTGTTCGTTGATGTGAGTTGCTATGTAGCGTGGTTCTTTCATGTACAATTTCTGTTAGCAAATTCTATTGACTTGTTGCTCCGGTGCTATTCACTGTTTGTTGATCACTGGCGTCCATGACCATTATCCTCCTCCCAGTTTAGTATCTACTCATTCTTGCTACATAGGTTATACGAACTGGGACTTCGTGTTCCTCTGTGCTTGTTGACTGACTTCGAGTCAGTGACAATATTCTTGCAGGCTTTGTGCCTACCAGAAACATCTACCATGGATGGAGGACCACATCCACGGAATATTGCCTCGACGTCTACTCCTGCAACTCCCGTCCGTTGTCATTCGCAGCAAATGTTAGTTACCCCGTCCATGGTCAAGAAGCGCCGGAAACCACGAGGAAGCAACACATTTCATCTTCCAGGTCCTCCTCCAGTTCTAGTACTTCCGGGTAGGCAGTATTTCGCCCAACAAATCGCTTCCAATACCAATCCTCGGCATGATGTCCCACCCTCTGATCTGATTGACCAGGACAGGCCTTCGTTTTATGACGATGTCCACTTCTTCTCCAATCCCTCCGCTCCTCGATCCTTCCGCTCCGACGGGCGACAGAAAAAATTCAATCAGTGGCAACGCTGGTCAAATGAAGTGATTCCTTCGCTAATCGGTCCATACCTCACATATCAATGCAAATCCTCTTCGCTCCGTCATCGGCCTGTATATCAAAATGATCATGTCGAGTGTACGGCTTCATGCCACAGGAAGACTTTAGAAGTGACTTGTGTTTTCTTCAATTGTATGAACTCATCATATTGTTCTGTGGCTCGAATTGACCGTAGTCCAGATCTAGAGGTTTTGAACATTGACTGCTGCCCCTGCGCACCCGCACCCCTTCAACTTCTTAAGTTGGGGCTATTTGCCTGTGCACCCATAGCTCCATCTCTTGCTGTTGACCTACGTGTACTAGAGCTCGTTAGGACTCTTTTTGTGCGGATCACCCCCAATACAACAGCCTGGTGTGAAGCATTGGAAGTTTTTCTAACAGCTCGGGGTTATAAACTTTCAACCAAGGTCTGCCTACATGATTCTTTTTTGAAGTAAGCTAACTCCGGCATCTTCAGGACAATCTTCGCCGCCGCTTCAGTAACGCGTATCATTGGTACTCAGTCCTTGTGACAAATGCTGAAGACCACATATACAGCCTCATTTCACAACATCTTCCTTCGCGTTCTTTGGGAGACGAAGTCTTGCCCACACAACCAAGCAATTATCTACGTTCACGTTGTCCAGTTTGTTTTGGAATGCAGGATTGGCAAAAGGATCACGGTTCGCGTCTCAAGTATGTCTTTCCTACCGTGTTTTTCCCCGTGCTGATGTTTTTGCAGGTTAGATTGCCATGTATGCATCGATGCATGCTTCACACAGAAAAGGTCAGCCAATTCACGTGGGGCCGATGGCCTAGATCCGCCAAACCCAACACGATCAGTTTTCATTTCGGACGAAGAGGTCGCACGGATGGAAGCTCACGTACGTGCCTGTCGAGGCTCCCTACCTGGTCGTGGAACAAAACGCAAGAAGCCCGAAGGCGACGAAGATGGGTACGAAGATGGTATGCGCATCCCTGTATCGACATTGGATGCCTGCGGGGAATCTTTTCTTGCTGCGGACGAAAAACGAGAGAAAGCTAGCACCCGTTTTTTCGCCGATACGGGAATCATGGCCTTACTTTGTCGTCATGACTGTGTCTTATGGTTGGTCAATATGACATCAGCAGGTGAAAAACAATATTATGCCCTTGCACTTATAAAAAAACTCTTTGAACATCTTCCGCCAACCATGACCGTCGGTATCTTGTATGATATTGCATGTCAGCTCGAGCGTAGTTGTCTTAAATACCAACTTCTCGAGCAAGGTGTTCTCTCACGTATCGTATTTTCTATATCTGTATTTCACGCGTACGGACATCAGTGGCCTTGTCAGCTTATTTATCACCCTCGCAAATGTGAAGGGTTTGGACTTTCTGACGGAGAGGGCTGTGAGCGCTTGTGGAGCGCTCTCAAGATGTTGATCCCCCCTTTGCGGGTCTCTGGGGTAAGTATCTTAATTCGTTGGGATACCTTGACTGACTAACATCATGATAGTACCACCAACGTCTTTTTGTGCTGAATGCACAAGTTCACCATCTTGACGGCAAAAATCTCGATACATTTGGCGAGTGGCTGAGTCGCAGATGGACTCGTTGCCAGACAAAGAAGAGCAGTGCAGAACATGTGCTTCGACAACTCTCTGTGGATGAGGCTAATATACGCCCGGAATGGAGGGCTCAGGTCGAGCACCAAACGAAACCATTATCCAGTGCGTGCTTTATTTTATATTTTCGTATTTCCCTAACATTTATAAAAAGGGAGATCAAAAACCAACAATGACGAGCAAATATCGAAGATTTTGACCCTCGAGCAAACACTCAGTAACCTGGACGATTCCGTTCGTGCTCTTGAGATGCAGCTCTGTGCTGGCAACACTCTTAATATTGTTGACTTCAACCTTCGACTTACAGACGAACGCACCTACCGGTCCAAAGTCGCTGATACTCTGCGACGATGGAAGGCGGCCCTCGGCATCGGGCAACTTACCGATCTTCAACAACTCCGACGCAGTATATTCCTTCAAATTTGTCTTGATGCGCAAGCTGTCAAGGCACGCCTTCATGAACGTCTTCGCCAGCGCAAATTTGAAATTGAGAGGTTTGAACGGTCGTACTGTCAGACAGTAAATGGTATGTAGCTTGATCCAACATGTTGATATGTCCGTGATTATCTTTGATTTAGAGCACAAGCTTCATGTGCATGCAGAAGCTTCAATTCAACGGCGCAACCCTACCATTCGAAAGCTCATCTCAACTTACAACAACCTCTGTGGTAAACTAATTGATTTAATTCGACGAGGGGAAGCTCCTGCCGGTGCGATAGCACCTCATTCTATCTCTCCGACTGGTATCTTTCAGCTTGACGTAGACGATGACATCTGGCAAGATGTTGGACTTGACGGCAATGATATGGCACCACCTGCCTGGCTAGCAGATGAGAATATGCGCGCAGCAATTAAGTTTCAACTCGAGGTGGACCGGTGCAATGAGGAAGGGGCTCGTATCATGCGAGAACGTTGTGTTCTTCAGGAGTGGACGATGGCTGAGTGGGATGCCTTACAGGAGGCTCGCACTCATGCAGGTAAGTTTGAACAACATTCTACTGCCGTGACACTGATAGTATACTAAGATGAGAATGAAGATCTCTGTTTTCATTTCGACCTCCGTGCTCGCTTATTGAGTGGTCTTGTTGTGCATTGGCAATCTCAAGTTCGTCCTATCCCTTGTGCTTGGCCATTACCTGACTCATGGGGCCCCACCCCGAATGACCTTGCTGAGGCTGCTAATATGTATTATCAACCAAGCTGTCTTGACGGCACAGCTGCTGTGTACGATTCTGAGAATGACTGGGAGTCTGATGACAAGAGGGAGAATGATGAATTGATAGATGAATTGGAGGAAGCTGCATTGGCTGGGGCATATATGGACCTTGACTCAGATTCATATGATATATAGTCTTTTGTAACAATATCCGAAATTCTCAAGTGATTGCTATAAGACAGACAATACATTCAAAGTGCAAATATATCATGGGCTATCCCATCTTAGAATGTATAGATGGTTGGGCATCCCAGACATGAGCTATCTCATATCAGCCCAGTCACCATATAAACCAGTGGTGGGCTAATCTGCATCATACATAGGAGATTGCTGGGCCAGCCCAGTCACCATATAAACTGGTGGTGGGCTATCCCGCATCATCCGTAGGAGAATGCCGGGCCAGCCCAGTCACCATATAAACCAGTGGTGGGCTAATCCGCATCATGCATAGGAGATTGCTGGGCCAGCCCAGTCACCATATAAACTGGCGGTGGGCTATCCCGCATCATCCGTAGGAGAATGCCAGGCCAGCCCAGTCACCATATAAACCAGTGGTGGGCTATCCTGCATCCTGCATAGGAGAGTGCTGGGCCAGCCCAGTCACCATATAGACTGGTGGTGGGCTATCCCGCATCATCCGTAGGAGAATGCCGGGCCAGCCCAGTCACCATATAAACCAGTGGTGGGCTATCCCGCATCCTGCATAGGAGAGTGCTGGGCCAGCCCAGTCACCATATAGACTGGCGGTGGGCTATCCCGCATCATGCATAGGAGAGTGCTGGGCCAGCCCAGTCACCATATAAACTGGCGGTGGGCTAGCCCGCATCATGTGTAGGAGATTGCTGGGCCAGCCCAGTCACCATATAAACTGGTGGTGGGCTAGCCCGCATCAGCCATAGGAGAGTGCTGGGCCAGCCCAGTCACCATATAAACCAGTGGTGGGCTATCCCGGATCCTGCATAGGAGAGTGTTGGGCCAGCCCAGTCACCATATAAACTGGTGGTGGGCTATCCCGCATTGACCAGTCACTGTCTTTTTGTTTCTGCTTTCATGCTCACATCCAAAGTAATATGTGATGACACTTACTCCAATAAAACCTAGAGTATTGTGGTGCAGGGCATGTTTCAATTGCGCAAAATTAACCAGATGGAGCGCGAGATATGTCAGTATCTGGAGCGAGGGAACAGTCAAGAACCTTACCCGACTTACATTCTTCCCTCATCATCAAAGACAACCCCCCTCCTATCACAAATTTCTTCCCTCCTTCTCCAGCCGCTTTGGATTTCGACTTGCATTCCTCCCTCATCATCAAAGACAACCACTTTGGATTTTGTTGGTCAAGGACCTTACCCGACTTACATTCTTCCCTCATCATCAAAGACAACCCTCCTCCTACCACAAATTCCTTCCCACCTCCTCCATTCATAGGTCAAGGACCTTATGAAGACAAACATTATACTCTAAGTGTCTGAATGTGTGGGCAATTTTTCATAAGAAGTGACCCCTGACA